CTCTTGTGCACAAGGAGTTTTCTGTTCATGGTCACGAAATGTATGTTGTTGTTGGAGGTTGATAATAGTCAGCTTATTACCTGCTCTGACATACAGCCTTGTTGGCAGTACTAGAGCTTCTTGTACTACGTGATCTATCCCAAACCCAAAGATGATATAAGTCTGGCTCACATAAACTCGAGCCATAGACCATGGTTGGAGATATTCTGGTTGCGGGAGTTGAACCAGCTCGGACTCCGGATGAGATGGAAATGGATGGATGGTTGATCCCCCGCCTTTCTTTCACAGTTTCACGATAACTGGTGATCAGTTATTGACGGAATATCATCCACCATCCTCATCTCCCCAACAATAAATTCGCAATCACATTTTCATTTTGTCTGAGGTGGAGTAAGATATATATAACACAACAATTGTATACCCCATTCCACTCACCTGCATAACAACCTCTAACAGTCAAAGATTGAATCGTCGTATCATCGTCTAACAAACCACAGCGTAGTATAAAGCGGAGGTTGTGCTCAAGGCGGGGGTTGTTGTGCCTTGACCCGTTTCTTCAGGGGTTACATTCAACGGTAGGTAGCGGGAAACGGCTGGTAACGCACAGTCCAGCTTTCCCCCAGTTAGTTGTAGATCAGGGGTTCACGATAGGTAGCCACGTCAGTCTCCCCTCTCGATATCAAGTGAAATAGGATTTCATTACACCCCTCACAAACCCCAACCGAGGCGGCCGCTCGAGAGCAACATCACTCTATTTTCCTGTCTCGTGCGTCCCATGATGGGCCGCATATTGCCAGGCCGGGCCAGCTACCACCTAAGGCATTCTTCAACTAGGCTAATATCATGTATAAACAACCCAAAAGAGAACACCGAACAAAAAACACTCCCCTAGCCGTGGCGTCCTACATAAACATTTCATGCATCGCCGTGGCAGTGGGCAGGCAAGCGCCGGGCGGCAAGCAACCGAGCAGGCAGGGTAGGCAGGCAGGGTCACTTGCGCACGGTTGCTGTTGCTACTGTTGTCTTCACGATGGTCGGTCAAGGGTAGGTAGGGTCAAGATATCGATCTATTTTCTGGACGGAAGCAGTCGGTTGCAGGTATGCGTGCATGACCATTGGGCGGGTAGGACGTTCAGATGTGTTTGCAAAGATGGTATCATAAGCTAGTTATTCACACGAAAAGTTGCAAAAAATAGAATACAACCGAGTTGTTACAGGATTGAACAAAAAACTGGCTATCAAGTGGGTATCTGCCAAAAAGAAAAACAAAATGCCCACACGCCCAGAACAGTCCCAGAGAGTGACTCCATATCCCATGCCCCCTATACACCATAAAATCACTTGTTTCCTTCTCATCCATGTCTGTGCTCCCAAAAAACGAAAGTGCAAAAAGGGATTGACCCGCCCCATGTCTCATCAACAGTGCCTCTCCACCGAAAGGGAATCATGAAACTGACGCCCTCGGCCTTGCATCCATTGCGAGTGACATCCTCCCCTCCTCTCCCCTCCTCTCTCCATCGTCGATCCGGGAATTATCTCCCCGATGAAAAATATGGGGATCACCAATTCACCGAGACAACCCCAACTCCCAACTCCGAGAGGGGGACGGTAGATGCCGTCAATCCCCCCCTGTTCCTGAGCCAAGCGTGCCGAAGGAGGAAGGGTGTGCATATGCTGTCTCGCTTCACTGCAGCCATCCCAATCGGGCGGGGCTTTGTATACAATGGATCTGCATTGTGCCCTCTGCTCTTTCAATAAGGGCACCCCTTGTAAGGGTGCTCGCTGGCCGGGCAGTAGTCGTGGGTGCCAAAGTCGATGGCCTTGCAGCAGAAGGAGCAGCAGTTGTTGACGAGTTCTTGGTATTCGACAGCGGCCATTTTTGATGTTGTTGTTGTTGTTGTTGTTGTTGTGGTTGCTGTTGTGGTTGCTGTTGTGTGGTATGGTGTGGTAGGTATGTGTGTGTATAGAGGTGGACACAAGTGTGTGTAAGTGGTGAGTCAACAGCTGAGTGCTATGGCTGGTGAAATAGGTAGATGGATGGTGTAGGTATAGCTTAATGGCAGCTTTGAAAGAGTTGACAATGACAACGTTTGGTAAGGCTTGAAGAGATGATGATGCTTCTGCCCAAAGGCCAAAGGGAAAAGTGTGGGAGGTGTCTACCCTTTATATCTTCCAATCCCTAATTCCTCGGGCACAAGAGCCAGGTTTAAAGATCCCAGTCCCTCCCCTCCCAAATAAGGAAATGCACAAAAAAAAAGGAAAGAAAAAAAAAAGGGGGGCACAGTCACTCCGGCAGCAGCGCACAGGCACGCACACACACTACAAGGTTGGGGGTAGTTTGGGGAAACTACAAAAAAAAAGCATAAAAGAGAACCCCCCTCGACAAACGGCATCCATCAACCCAAGCTGGGCACGGGCTTTGCAGCAAGACATGGGAGATACCTGCAATTGCATGGCTATCTACTCTTTGTTCCTATACAACCCAAGAAACCCACTCGGGTACTTTTGATGTCACCAGGTACTATTACTCCTCTCTCGACACAGTATGCGAAAATGATTTGGCTTGCATCAACGGAAAGAGAAAGAAAAAAAAAGTCTGGGGACTCTGTGAGCCGCCTCCCAAGACTACCTTCCTTCTCTTGGGGCGCTTCGAAAAGAGAGCCAAGAAAAGACCCAAAGAAGTGACCCGAAGGCGTCGTCGAGCAGCAACAAGGCGACCACAGGGGACAAGAGAAAGAAAAAAAAGAGATGCAGCGGATAATGCGGCGGTGTGGCATGATTAGAAAGGGTCACGAGGCATTCCAAACCTTGGGAAAACAAATTGGGCTCTCATTTTTTTTGATTTGGGTTTTTCCAAGTCCACCACTCCATTCCAGTCCCACCGAGATATCCGTCCAATTGACCTCTCAGCATCGTTGCCGTACCATGTTCCTGTCACACCCGAGGGAGACTGAAAACACCCAATGGGCGATGACACCCAGCTTTTTCTTCAGCAAGCCATGAGATCACTCGGTCAGGACTCAGGACCCTGCTGCACACAACACAGAACGTGAGGCTGGTGGTACATATCAACGACGCTTTGTGTAGAGGCACGCCGCTGGATCACGAAGTTGGTGTATTCCTTCTGGCGCATGTGCTGATCCGCTGCTTGCTGACCTTACCTTACATATCCGTATGGGCAGTGAGTAAGAGAACGGACACAGCCCCGGGCAATGTCTTCAACGCCCGTCGGCAGCCGCGCAATGCTGCCATCAGCCGCTGGAAGGCGTCCATCAGTCCAAAAGAGCACATAGCACACCGCTCTTCAGCAACAGGTCCCCTCTTGTCCTCGAGAGGGCATCCCCATCAGCGGCAATCCGGCTGACACCTGCGGGACTTGTGTCCTGGGGTATCATGCCATCACGGTTCCATCAAAAGGACATGTCCGCAATCCCGTCCTCCGGGTGCGACTGCGGGGTGATCAGGGCTTGTGTTTGGTGACGTCTGTTCCATGCCCTGGCGAGCTTGCTGGGAATAGGGCACCAATGAGAGCCTGTCCGCCAAGCGACCTCAATGGCCAACCCAGCCCAATCTTCATGTTTCACAGTCCGAGAGACCTTCAACACCACCGGCATCCGACACGGCGCTTTGGCGCCTGCCTTGTACTGCGTCCTCCATTGGCTCGGTGTCGTCTTTGAAGACCTGCACGGCAGCTACTCGGCCCCTCTGTCGGGAACCTGTCAACGCCCTGAACGCTTGAGGAGCGGTGGTGGTGGCACGGGCTGGGGACAAGTGCTACACAATGCATGTGCCGCAGCCAGTTCACGATAGCCTCAGTTGAGCCGTAAAAGGGAAAAGTTGGAAGGCCCAACTTTGGGTTTCACCCGCGGTATCCATTGGCATACATATGGGATGCCAATATCGCCGAGCGTGGGGGGAGAACCTACCTTACCATCGCTACTATCAATTTTCCATCTCTGTCCCCGCTTCCGAGTCGCTTCTTGACCGGATCCGCCCGATCGTGATTGATGAAACTCGGTCACCTGCCCTCATTCTTTTTGGTCAGGATAGAGCGCTCCGTGATATTCCATCCTGGCGGATTACCCACTTTGGCCGCGGCTCCATTGGTCTCGCCAAACCCCTCTCTGCAACGCACATCTTCCAGATATCAGTCATATCATTGGAAACTGTACGCATCTCGGCAAACGAGCAGCTGATTCTTCAAGACTTGCTGTCGATGACATGAACTTTTGCTGGCGAGGTTGGGTAACACAGCATATCGGCAAGTCATAAAAGGGTCAGTCGGGGGTGTTCAACCTGTCCAGCAGTAGAAAACTTCCAGAAGGATGCCGTTGGATCCAATCAGAGACGTCATAGTCGTACGAAAATCCAAGTGCCGCGCGAGCCTAGTTAACCTTACGGCCCTTGGGATGTTGGTGATCCACTGGCCTTCTAGCTGATGTCGTTGGCCGGGCGTGCCCAACCTAGCTGTCCGCATGCCCGAGTCCATCGGAAGCGGGAGCACCGTCGGCCTTCTTGCAAGACCCAATCCCGTGGGTTGAACTGCATATGTTTATTGGCGGACCGATGTCGGTAGCCGCTGCCCTTGCTGACCTTTGGTAAATGCTGTGAGAGCGAGAATGAAATCCCGCAAGTCACCAACTGACGGCTGGAGGTCACGATAACCTCTTCGGCCGCCTTCCCAACTCGGAGCGGGCAGTGGGTGCTCACTCGGATCCCTTCCATAGTAGTCGAAATAGGGTCTGCCAAATCTGGATCATTCGTGGGGGTCCAGACATGTGCCGGAGATAAGGCTGATGCTCATGAGTGGCTGCGGACGAGCACGTCTTTATTCGACATCAGGAAATTCTCGTGGTGCTTATTACCAAGTTGGCTATGTCATTTCAGTTAGTTCATAGTTTTTCTCTTCTCATGTATGGCAGGTGAAACCTAGCTCGGTCAGGCATATCAGGATGGGATGGATAGCACACCGACGCTTTTCGTGATACCTTCCTTGTTCATCGCCGAACGAATAGGGTGCTCTAGCCATAGTCAAGAAGCCCACTTGGCCTCGGCTCGCTTCGAATTGTTTGGGTGACAAGATGCACACCGTCAGCGCTTGCACCATCGTGAGCCCCCAACGTCCAACAGCCAGCTGCAATCCGATGTCGCAAGCATCGTGCTTGAACATCAAAGGATTAGTGGGAGACAAAATGCAAGGGACTCCACCCACGTGCGTGGCAGAAGTCTTGTTCCAGCTCTGCGGCCTTCTCTCGTGAAGCTGACTGGATGGTCTAGACCCGAGGGGATGGACGCGATATGCGGGCTGACACCGTTGGTGGAAAGACGGGAGTGGAAGCCGTGCGAGGTGTCCAGCCAATCTCATAGCGAGAGTTGTGGTCGAAAAAAGGGGCAGTATGTTAGGGTCGGGCTGAATAAACCCATGAGATGTCGAAGAAGTTTGTTGAGAACAAGATTGAAAGATTTGAGTGTCGTCATTTCCTTGAACAAACGGTATTGTACTTGACTATAATAGGGTTGGGGATATGCCTGGTTCCAGACGCACAGACTCCGGCGTCGACCATCAGCCCCTACAGAAGCTTGACTTCTCCAAAGATTGCTTCGGCTTCATTTCTCCTCCTGAGAAAAAGGTTATGGTACATATCACCATGAGCAGCCCGATGGCCAAACTTCGTGAACGTAGCTACGCCATATAGACCTCCGCAAACGACGCTACAAACCCTAACCCGAACCCCCATACCACGCCGGCTATTACATTTGGACTCCGCGCTTTCCAATCGCTCGGTTCTCGGGTTTAAACTCGCCCACTCCAGCGGGGTTTTCTTTTGACAGCTTCAGCGTTGCTTACGGGACAACTATCACCCATCTTTGGACCTAGATTGAACTCCTCAAGTTGCCAAGAGCATATGGTGCAAGGTTACACCATCACAGCGATGCCTCCTCTTCTATGGACAAATAAATGGCTGCTAGTCTCGAATCAGGTAGTAATAGGGGGTTTGTATTGTTCCATTTCGCCCGCGAAATGACGGCATATCTTTTCCCGTTGACGGGGATGTAGTCTCACCCACTCGTTCTTGTCTATCGCTCTTGACTGTGTAACACATCAACCCCTTTAACCAAGCAAACATACCGAGTCTTGTCCAGATACAACAAGCACAATGTCTCAACCACTCGGCCCCTTCAAGCTCGTCACCGTCAACACGGCCCCCGAGCGCGCCTATCGGCTCATCGGCCGGGTTGTGGAGGATGTCAAGGACAAGTACACCATCATCCACGCTGGCAATGCAGAGAGTAAGCACCCCTTTATACCCCCTTATGAACTCTAAAGTACCCGAGCTAACATACATAATAGGCATTGACAAAGTAAAAGAAACTGTCGAGGCAGCTCAGCCCAACGTCCTGGTATGCCCCTTCAGCCTTACTCTCCAAACCATAAGTCTAACAGGAAGTAGTTCACTGCCTCCATGTGGACCCCCGAGCAAGCAGCCGAGATCATCGCCATCGCCAAAGAAATCGTCCCAGACCTCAAGACTTTCTCCCTGCCTCAGGGGTTGCAGGTGGACAAGGGGCCTGACGCGGTGGTGAAGTACATCAAGGAGAATTTGCCTGGTTTGCTTGAGTAGATTTGCTCGATTGGATGCTATCAGGGGTATAGACTGATAGAGAGTACAAGCAAGAGCTTATATGAGACGAAAATAACCATGGGATGCCACCTCCTACCCCCTACCCCCAAACCCCCATCATCTCCTCTTGCCGCAGCCTCACCATCTTCTCCCACCTCAAACGATGCTCCTGCCTCACCATCTTCTCCCACCTCAAACCATGCTCCTGCCTCACCATCTCCAGGATCTCCTTTTCCGCCCGGACTCTATCAACCTCCTCCATCAACCTCTGCCCCTCGGCAACTCTATCAACATTCTCCTGGGCCAAAACCCGCGCCTCCATCATAATCTTATCAGCCTCCCTTTCCAACCTAACCCCCTCCACACCTTTATTATCCCTCCCCCGGGCGAGAACCTGCGCCTCCATCAGGTTCGCGAGAACCTCCCCCTCCAACTTGACCCTCTCCATCCTCATCTTAGTAATCTCCTCGTTCAACTTGACCCTCCTAACCTCCCTCTCCATCCTTATGGTGGTAACCTCCTCCTCCAACCTCACCCTCTCCATTCTCGCCCTGGCAATTTCCTCAACAATCCCTAACCCCCTCCCTCTCTTTATTATCCCTTTCAGCCCTCGAAATCTTGTGCTTGAGCTTAATATTCTTATTCTTGTAGCGCTCCCTCTCCAATCCAAGACTCGACTTTTCTGCTCGGCGGGCCCTCTTTTCAAATTTTTTGACGCTCTATTCCCACCTCGAGGCTGCTGCTTTTCCAGCTTGAGTGCCCGTTTTTTTTCTCCGTGAGCAGTCGACGACGGGGGTGTTTTTGGCTTGGTGGCGGTGTTCTTCCACCGCGAGCAGGCAATGCTTGGAGATTTTTTGTTCGTGATGGGCGAACGAGAAGGGAGGGCGGCGGCCGGGAGCGGTGTGTGTTTGGAGGTCATAATGGTTATTAGTGTTGGGAAGAGAAAAAAAGAGTGAGTGTGATGGTAGGATAGATGGATAGATGGATAGATGGATAGATGGATAGATGGATAGATGGATAGATGGATAGATGGATAGATGGATAGATGGATAGATGGATAGATGGATAGATGGATAGATGGATAGATGGATAGATGGATGGATGGATGGATGGATGGTTTGGAAAAAAGGTTTTTAATTGCGGGATTTGGAAGTCGAGTCTGGAAGAGTGAAAGAGATGTCAAGAAGAAGGATGCTCTTTAAAACAGAAACTTATATGTGTTTTGACTTTGTAATATCAGAAGCCGCCATTTCTGTAAACAAAAGTCTGCTTCTATCCCGAAGTTTATTCCATGGTAGCTAATTTGCATTCTGATGTTGGAAATTTCCTTTTTTTTGGGTTGGTGATAAGTGATGCTGTAAACTCTATCTATAACCATCCTCGCTTTTTCCGAGTGCGGCCACCACCACCTCTTCAAAGTCTAACCCCTCCCATTCCCTAACCATACTATTTCTCGTTCTGCAGCTTGTTCACCAAGCTGCCGATATGTGGCTGAATCTCAACAATAAACTCGTCACCGTCATGGAGAAGCTCCTGAGGCTTGTGAGCAAAGCCGACACCAGCGGGGGTGCCAGTGATGATGACTGTGCCCTTGGGCAGAGTCGTGCCTTGTGACACAAAGCTGACGATCTGCTCGACGGAGAAGATGAGATCAGTGAGCGGGCTGTCCTGAACTGCCTTTCCGTTCTTCAACCCTCTGAGTCTGAGCTTGCCGACATCCTTGATAACATCCTTGGAGACCAACACGGGGCCGATAGGGCAGGCGCCGTCGAAACCCTTGGAGTAGCACCACTGCGTCTGGGCAAACTGCGAGGCACGGGAGGAGATGTCGTTGCAGGCTGTGTATCCGAGAACGTAGTCGAGAGCGTCGGCCTCGGAGACGTTCTTGGCCTCCTTGCCGAGGATGATGGCGAGCTCGGACTCGTAGTCGGCCGAGTCGGAGGCGATGGTGTGCTTGGGGATGATGGTGGGTTCTGGGTAGGGGCCGGCAAGGCAGGTAGGGGGCTTCAGGAAGAGGGTCGGGATATCGGGGATGCTCATCTTGGCCTCCTCGGCGTGGCGCTTGTACTGTTGAAGTTGTTAGTCACGTTCCCGAGTCTCCTTCAGGCTGCTACTAAGAACTTACGTTCAACCCGATGCAGCGGATTGTGCCGGCCTCGTTGGCCGTTACGGGCGAGAGGATCTGGCCGATGACGGCGGTCTCGCCCGTTGGTGAGCCGGCATCGAGAACGGAGCTTCCGCTGTAAACCTTGACCTGGACCTCCTCTCCCTTGTAGACAGCGAGACCGACATCGACAGAGCTGTCTACTGGTTCTCCGACCAGGACCTTACTGGTGTCGCCCTTGGGCACAAATCTGACGAGACCTGGATGCGTGTGTCAGTTCAGGAGCTTCCCCCGCATCTCGGGAAAGCAGCATCTTACGCTCAAAAGCCATTGTTGCTGTTCTGATTCTTCCTGGGTAGAGTAGTAGAAGCTCTGGTTACCACGATTGTCACAAGACAGAAAAGATTGAGAGGGAGAGCAGCAAATAACCCGAGAAAGTAACCTGAGCACGTCAGATCGGGATGGGACTTCGGGACTTAAATATCGACGCCGGGCATCACTAATAGGTAGCGCCGCTGTCATCTAGGAACCCCTAGCTTCGCTTCTTGACGTCTTGTACGGTAGGGCGAAGGGGAGGGATCGGTTTGTGAGATCGGCCTTGAATCAGCCTATTTCCGGCCCCTCTTGTTGGCCAGAATCCCCCCGTGTCCCCCCATGAAACGCACATTCCGGATAACGAGAAGCAAAGTAGCAGGAACCCTTCTGCTGCATGGCATTCTATGCTGTGCTTGGGGCTGTTCGTCTGAACAACGCAACTGGATTGCCCCTCACTGTTCAACGCCGGACCGGAGAACTCCACAATCTCCCCGCAGCGGGGGGTTTGCGGAGCTCTGGACGTGACCGCTGCCCCGCAGCACACCGTTCACGCTCGATTTGCGGAGTCAGGACCATCTCTGTCAGCAATTTGTGGAAGGTTTGTCAGTTTTCAGATAATTGAACAGACTGCGCTAAGTAAATTGGATTTTATACTTCCGCCCTTCCAGCTTTTCTCGGCGCTCATTCGACTATCTCTCGAATTTCTCCGGAGCATTTGGATGAAGACTGTTCCCTCTCAGATTCGGTAGCTTGAGAGGCTTGACGAGGTATCAGAAACCTTGGAAGAGGAATCCGGGCAGAATGCAGATGAGCAGATGATTATGAAGTACTATCATATTGCGAGTCAGTAGCAGTGGTTTGAGTAGTCTAGCGAAGAGGAACACGCAGCGGTACCTCTGGGGCTCTTCTTTTGTAATAAATACACATAGTGTGATAGTCTCTCACAGCTTCAAAAAGGCGATAAATGTTCCCACCAGTCGCCCACCACAAATCTGTGCAAGAGCATAAATGTCTGAGGCTTCCCAGCTCGTCATCCCGTTGCCCCTTTTCAACCCCTGAACTGTTCAAGACTAACCCGCCGTGTCGAAACCATCGTTTTGAACCCAAAGCCTTCGTTCCAACAACAGTCCAGCACCAATTTATATCCGGGATCTTGCTGTTATTTAATAATAGCTTGGAGCTTATAATCAACCTTGTTTCTCCATTCCACTGTAGTAGTACCCTAGACTCCCTGCCGAGACCCCTTGAGGGCATAGAAAACCCCCCCTCCCCCGCCCACGATTGGACCGCCGATGATACTCGCTAGCACGCTCTGGTTATGCTGCTTTTTGGCATTGTATTCCGTTATTCGTTTTTGTAATTAACTGTTCGAGGAGCTTGGGGGTGTCTTGACAGTCACCCTGCCCACAAAACAATTGAGATATTAAAGTATGTTTACATGCCTTGAAGGACAGTCCATAGGCCTTTAAAAATAGTCCATAGGCCTTCAAAGATAGTTTAAAGGCCTTCAAAGATAGTTAAGAGGCCTTGAAACATCGTTTAAAGGCCTATCAATTTACTCTTAAGGCATAAGGTAGTTCACAGTATAGTACGGGTTAACCTACTTTTGTGTGTTCAACTATTTTGTGGTGAGGGCGACTACCAACGATAAATTAAGACGACGACGATATTGCGTGGCGGTCTGCGTATGCCAATCAGCGGTGGATGGGACTTTGGGTGGATGCCTATGATTTACTCATTTGACGAGACTAAGCTTAGGCAGGTGATAGTGTGCTGGAACGCAACTTGTCACACCGGATCTTCAGTGTCCAAGCTAGGAGTCTCAAAGACTGCGGTGATATGAACTGGCACACTGGCTGAGAACTGGACGCAGCAGAACCAAGGTCATGGAAGAAAAGAAGGAGGACACCCGGCGGCTATCTCACAATGCTTAAAGTCTATCTGACATGGGCAATGCGTGTTGGTGGTGCAGTTGTTGTGGCGTCAGCTGCATCGCGAGATGACGGTGTTGGGAAAAAGACACTTCTTGTGGTCCCTGAATGCCGGAGCACGGTGGGTGGGGACTCGGATGAGAGGCCTAGGCCGCTAGAGATGCAGAGGTGTGCATTGCGCGGCTAACTCCAACTGAGAGATGATGAGCTATTGGATGAGACTCGAGTGTCTGTTTAATGGCGCGCCGTTCTGCTATATTCTCTTGTTAATATATACAACCCCATTTCGGTTGTCTGAGAGATAACATCCACATATCAGGCATGTCATTGAGGCCCAAAAAGAGGAACAAGGATCAAGCCCCTCTGGTGTAGGTTGAAGGAGGGGCAGCTCAGCGTCATTGCGGGTTCTCCCCGCCCTATTAGCCGCCAAGGGGTGTGCCGCCTGCCGCCGCTATCAACACCTTGCTTAGGTAGGTATCCCATGTTCGCTGTGAACTGCTGCTCTCCATCCACTCATCCCACCTCACCTCGGACCTTGTTCTTTGCTCACCCAATGCCTGGCTTGACCTTTTACATCTCCGTCTCACTGCAGACAGGAATCTCGCGGAAGCCCACTACCGACGGCACCTTATTCCGCTAACCTCTCACTACTCCACCACGCCACTTGCCTACCTAACCTTGCCTTACCTGCCCTCTCTCTGCCAACCCCGCCCTGTCAACCTTCACCTAACCTAACCTAACCCGGGCCGTGCACTGCGTCTTCACTCCCAGCTGTAAGCAATACCGTTCACGCCACCACACGTACGTCGACTGGCCGCGTCGTATGCGACCCCATCGGGAAGCCTTGGGTTTATGAATGCCGTGCCGAGAATTAAAAACCACCCTCAACGTCAACGAGCCCGTCTCTGGTTTGCGCAACGGTCGACTGAACTGAACACCACACCCAGCAAGTGCCCAGCATGGCACAAGCGCCCATGATCGCCGTGCCTCTCAAGGCCACAAACGAGATCGACTGGATCTCGCCCCTCAAGTCGTATATCCAGAATACCTACGGCGATGACCCGGAGCGCTACGCAGAAGAATGCGCCGCCATCAACCGGTTACGCCAGGACATGCGTGGTGCTGGTAAGGACAGCACCGCTGGCAGGGACCTGTTGTACCGGTATTATGGCCAGTTAGAGCTTCTGGACCTCCGTTTCCCGGTTGACGAGCAGCACATCAAGATCTCCTTTACATGGTAACATATGCTCATCATGTCCCGGCTTGTTGAGATGTCCTTCTAACCTCGGTTGATCCAGGTTCGATGCCTTCACGCACAAGCCCACTTCGCAACACTCACTGGCGTTTGAGAAGGCCTCTATCATCTTCAATATCTCGGCCGTACTCTCCTGCCATGCTGCCCATCAGACTCGAACCGAAGAATCCGGCCTGAAAACCGCCTACCATTCTTTCCAGGCCTCGGCTGGCATGTTTACTTATATCAACGAAAACTTCCTCCATGCGCCATCGGCAGACCTGAGTCGGGAAACGGTCAAAACCCTGATCAATATCATGCTGGCACAGGCGCAGGAGGTGTTCCTCGAGAAACAGATCACAGACCAGAAAAAGGTTGGGTTATTGGCCAAGCTCGCGAGTCAAGCAGCTACTCTGTACGGAAAAGCAGCCGAGGGTGTCCAGGACAATGTCAACAGGGCCATTTTCGAAAAGGTCTGGCTTCAGATGGTGCAAGCCAAGTACAACCTCATGACATCGATGGCGCAATACTTCCAGGCCTTGGCGGACGACGATGCGAACTCGCACGGTATGGCTATTGCACGTCTACAGGTGGCGGAGGCACTTGCACGTGATGCGAACAAAATCTCTCACAGTTTCCCGGGGACGTTGCCTCCAAACGCAAACTTGAACGCGGATGCGCCTTACATATTGCAGGAAATCACCAAGAGGCACTGGGTGGCGGTTCAGGACAAGCTACGTGAGCTTAACAAGGACAACGATTTCATCTACCATCAGCCAGTACCTGCCGAAGCAGGTGTCCCACCTGTGGCCAAGCTGCCTGCTGCGAAGCCTATCCCAGTGAGCGAGCTCTACGCTGGGCAAGACATCTCCCGAATTACCGGGCCAGATCTGTTTGCCAAAATTGTGCCGTTGGCGGTCACTGAGTCGGCCAGCTTGTACGACGAAGAAAAGGCGAAGTTGGTCAGAGCTGAGACAGAGCGGGTTGATCAAGCTAACAGCGAGATGGCTGCGAGTTTGGATTATTTGAGGCTGCCAGGTGCTCTCCAAGTTCTGAAGGGTGGCTTTGATCAGGAAATTCTTCCCGATGAAGATTTCAGGACATGGTGTGTGGACGTTGCGGACCACGAGAATCCCGGGACGATATTCGACTCTTTGCATGGTCAGAAACAGGCCATCATGACTGTTTTGGACAGGAGCGCAAAACAACTAGATATGGAGGAAAGCGTGTGTGAAAAGATGAGGTCGAAATATGATAGCGAGTGGACCCAGCAGCCAAGCTCGCGACTTACTACGACTCTACGGAGTGATATTCGAGGCTATCGGGAAGCTTTGGACGAGGCAGCACGGAGCGATCAACAACTGTTCACCAAGTTGCGGCAAAACCAGAACGAGTTTGACGAGATGCGTCTTGCTGCGGAGACTGGCGAGGTGGATGCGTTGTTCCAGAGGGCGGTTAATAAAGGGCGCAAAGCCAGCAATACGAATAGCCCGTCGACTGAACCCAATCTTTTGGATGCCGATTTTGATGATGGGGGACCGAGCGTTGTTGAGCAGATTACCAAGGTGGAGGATATCCTCAAGAAGCTGAATCTGATCAAAAGGGAACGCACCCAAGTGCTCAAGGACTTGAAGGAGAAGGTGGGTTGTCTACCAGGAACTCATGGGGGCAGTATGAGAGCGTTTGCTAACAGACACAGGCGCACAATGATGACATCTCTCAAATCTTGATTTTGAACAAGAAGAGCATTGTCAAGCACGAGCAGCAGCTGTTTCAACAGGAGCTCGAGAAGTTCAGGCCTTACCAGACCCGTCTCGTTCAAGCTACTCACAAGCAGGCGGCGATGATGCGGGAGTTGACAGTAACGTTCAACAACCTCCTTCAGGATAAGCGGGTCCGCGCGGAGCAGAGCAAATACGAATCAATTCAGAGGACGAGAGCTTCCGTCATCGGCAGATACAAGCGGGCATATCAGGAGTTCCTGGACTTGGAGGCTGGTCTCCAGAGCGCCAAGAATTGGTACAAGGAGATGAGGGAAACGGTGGAGAGCATGGAGAAGAATGTTGACACGTTTGTCAACAACCGGCGGTCTGAAGGAGCGCAGTTGCTCAACCAAATCGAACAGGCCCGGGCAGCAAGCAAGAGCTCACAGGCTGCGTTGGAGCAGGAGCGGTTAAGGGGTTTGATGGAGCGCATGTCGATGGAACAACCACCCTCACCTCCCAAGCAGTCGAGACCGGCGCCGGCACCGCTCACCTTCAACACCGGGCCGGCGTATCACAAGAGCAGCTACTCCTCCGGGCAGCATACACTCCCCAGCTCTCCACCCCCGACCCAGACCACCTACGGGCATCACCAGCAACAGTCGAGCCAGTCGGGGTTCAACACCATCTACAACCCTAGCTCTCACGGCCGCATCCCCGGCCCGGCGTCTCCTCCGGCAACACAGTCGACTTTCAATCTTGGGGGACACATGCGCGGACCGGCTTCCCCGCCACCGAACCAGACTTCGTTTGGCCACAACACGTATGGGAATCCCAACGCACCACCACAAGGCTATCAGCAACCACCTCCTCAGCAGCAGCAGCAAGCTGGTGGTGGTGGGTATGTACCGCCTAACTTTGTGCCTCCGCCACCACCACCTGGACCGCCACCGCTGGGGCCGCAGCAGATGATCAACTATGGGGATGGGTATTATAACCCGAATGCGCCGCCGAGACCGGGGTCGGCTTCGCAGCACCAGCACCAGCACCAGCACCAGCACCAGCACCAGCAGCAACAGCAACAGCAACATCAGTTGTATCAGGGACAGGTGGGATATCCGAATCCCAATCAGGGGGGTGGTGCTGGGCAGGATCCTTGGGCTGGGTTGAATGCGTGGAAATAAGGGGTGGGGGGGAAGGGATGGAAAGATTGATACGGGGTAAGGGGGTAGGAAGAGAGGAGAGAAGTGGAGTTAAGATATCAAAATATATATTCATATCACACACTTGAAAAGTGTCCTGTTGGAGATGGAGACAATAACTGAGAATTGAAAATGCAATGATACAACACAAAACACTCAAGCCAAGCTAGTTAAAAAGGGACGGAACCTATCCAACAACAACAAAAACAAGCAGGCAGGCAGGCAGGCAGGCAGGCAGGCAGGGCGCGAGCTGCAGTGGTCTATGTGTAAGAAGCCAACAAATCAAACCAGCAAACCAGCTGTAAATGCTATATATGCCTTTCTTTCTTTCCTTCTCTCTCCTCTCTCCTAAACAGCCAAAATAAAAACACTATGAAACCCCCGTGCACTGTGTTTTGGCCCTTCTTCTTCTCTCGGTCTCTGTCTGTCTGTTGTAAATGTTGATCTTCTGTCTTTCTATATTCGTCCACCTTTTGCAGCCCCCCCGTTAGATCCCTCAACCGTGAGCTCAGATCTTGGCCTTGGGCGCCTCAAGAGTAGGAATCAACAAGTCCCTCATCTCGCCGGCCGCCTCGCTGAGGTAGTAGCTCATCTTTTCGCTCCCGAGGCCCTTGCTGACAATGTTGAAGTTCAAGCTGCACACCAATCAGTCAGTAATCTTGTTCACCCTATCCCACCACACCTGCCCAGGAAAAAAACCAAAAAAAAAAAAGAAAAAACCTACCTATTCTCATTAATCATATACGCAATCCCAAACCCCTCATCAATAACCTGACTCCACCCGTACCCGTTAAAAAACTCACTCGACAGCTGGCTGGTGCTGAGATACCACGAGCTAGAATACCCATACGCCGGATCCTGATACAGAGCCGGCACCTCCTCCCCCTTGCCCAACAACCTCTTCAGCCCAAACAAATGCCTGTCCACGCCCTTGCCGTCGCTCGCGGCAGAGATGTACTCCAAGTGCCCATCAATCGCCTTTCTGAACAGGGTCACCTTTTCAGAGTCGGGAATGGCAGGATCAGCCATGCTCTTGCACCAGTTCGCTGACTCCTCGGAAACAGTCCTGCAAGTCTCGGTACGGCCTTGTTGGAAGCGTCTGGTAGCGGCAGACTCATACGTAGGCCTGTTCTTGCCGTACATCTTGAAATACGCCAGCTGGATGATCATCTGCACGTACGCGTCGGGGCTGCACTTGAACTTCTTGATCAGCCCCTTGCCGTATCCCTGGTACGCCTGCACCGCGAGCTGGTGCTGGCCAATGACGTTGTTGAAGTCGGTGATGGCCCTGTCGATTTCGGACTGCACCTCCTTGTTGACGACAAACTTGACAACCTGAGGCTCGGGCAGATTGCTCCGGACAGTCGGGTCGGCAAAGTCGAGCTTGTTGTTGAAAATGACGTCGTTGACAAAGTCATTCAGCCTGTGGGTGGGCGTGCCGTCCATCATGGAGTGCTCCCCCATGAAACCCGACGTGCCATTGTCGTTGACAATGAACTGAAGCGGCTTGTCATACCACCTGTTCTGCCCGTCACCATGCCAGTAAGCATGCGCGCGCTCCTCAAGCGTCACAGGAGCCGCATCGTCAAGGCAGACGACAAACGAAGCCGACTCAATCGCCTCGAGGGACTGGGCGTTCTTGGGGTCGGCAGACAAGAGCTTCGCGCGCGCGTCGGTCCAGACATCTCTGTTCTCCGACGTCAGGGCGCCAACAGCAGGAACCCGCTGCCCGGCGAGCTCATAAACCCGACGGAACGCCTGCTCCAGCTCAGAGGTATTAAGCTGCTGCCCGTTGACCTCGTGCGCGACCTTGAAGAACTGGTTCTTGCGGATCACCAAAATGTGCTTGTTCTGCGCCGGGTCAAACTTGACGGGGTAATCCGCCGGCTTGGCAGCCACACGGCTGCAGTTGAACATCCACTTGTAGCTATCCATGCAAATCGGCAGCTTCTTCATGTACTCGGGCTCCAGCGTGCCCGTGTCAACCTGCTTCTTGAACTCGAGCGCGGCGGTGGTGATGGCCGCCGCGCGCTTGGCAGGGTCACGGCGGCGCTTGTCATCGCGGTGAGAGTAAAAGTAGCTGACATAAGGGACGACGGGGTCGCGGTAGGAGAGGTAAGCGGCGTCGTTCCACCACTCGTAGATCCAGTTCTTGTGCTTGGGGTCCTCGCGGCGGGCGAGGAGCTTCTCCTGGAGCTTGCGGCCGGGGCCGTTGGGGGCGATGAACTCCTGGACCGCCTTTGTGCTCTTCTCGAGCTCGGCGGGGGAGAGGAGAGGCTTGAGGGACTTGAGGTAGCGGGCCGCGGTCTCTTCGAGGGTTGGGACGGGGAGCTTGGGGAGAGAGTCTTGGAAGCGGAGCATTGGGCCCTTGGACTTGTCCTCGACGTAGCCGGCGGGCAGGGAGGAGTTGTTCCTTCTAGAAGCCATTGTTGCCAATCTCTGTTTTGGGGTTGCCGACTGTGTTAGCTGTATGCGCGGAAGAAAAAGAAAGGTTTGAGAGAACACGAACCAGTGGCGTCTGGGTTTGTTTGGGAATGATATTCCTAAGAGCGGGCGACCGAGCCTCTGTCCTTGCGGTCCTTGCGATCGCGGCAAACATCCCAACTTCTCCTAGGCAAGTGGAGCTAAAAAGCCGGGGAAGGGGGGGAATTAAGGAGGCAACGGACAGACAGCAAAAGATTTGTTTGGGGGCTGGGAAGAAAATGAAAGACGTCAAGGAGAGGATAGTAGGTTGGGTAGTAGGTGACCCTTGTGAATTTACGATAGTACAGAGTGGTATGTAGTAGTAGTAGAGAGAAGAGTAGCCGCGGGACGATTGACCGAAGCAGGGTCGGCCCTTTCTTTGCGTGATGCTTTCCGCTTTCTCCGCGAGCCTAGGTAAAAGGATACACAGGTTCGGGGGTCCGGGGTGACATCGGCATCGGTTATACTGGCCTTCACAGTTATGTATGTATGTATGTATGTATGTATGTATGTATGTATGTATTAAGCCCCCCCCCCCGCGCGCCCAACACACATCTCCCTCTTGCGTGCGTGCCTCGTCTCGTCTGATCCCTCTTGCCCTGGGGGGGCACTTGGAAAAAAAGCAGGTGCATCAGGGTGCGCTTGTCCGAACGACCCCTGAAGCCGAGGCTATTTGCCGTCATTCAGTCTTCCAACGCTGCAAGCTGGCCGTGGGGTTACCGAGTCAGCGGGGCCGCCCCTTGTGACCATGCCGTTGGCGTGTGAAGGGCCTTCCCTGCTGTTCTGTGACGGATGCCGCGCTGAGCCTGACGTCGCTTTCGTCCCTCCCTTCCACCGGCTCGTTACGGCCTAGCGGAGGAAGCCGAAACAGGGAATTCACATGCCAGCGGAAAACCTTATGCATATTGATACCCTCTCCTCCTCCAATCGCACCTCTTGTAAATAATGCGCGCCGATGAGTGAGTGAATAAGCTTTGCCCGGGGCAGATGTCAATTATGCACCTTGTACCTGTACACTCATCATGACCAAAGACCCTGAAGACCGGAGATAGTAGGCCCAACCCGTACGACCATGATCATATATGTAAACCCAATCCGACGAACTACCTACAGCATTCCCGGGTCATCGACAAGTCCGGTGGTCACAAGGCTAGGTATTTATCTCCGTCCCACCTGCAAGAAACAACCTCGGCCTACTACTTACTGTTAGCGGTACCCCTATCACAGCCTCACGTTGTGAGATTGAATATAAACAATACGCCAAAACACCGATTACACCAATCACTACCTCATCTAACGTAACTTGCAGACCTTTTCTCAAAAAATATCCTCCCCAGAGCCATCAAGACCTCGCCTCACCCCTCACTAACCGCTGCATTGTAATAAGATAGGTAGGTATTTTGATACAGAAATAGTAAAGCCATAACAAAAAGGTGCCCAGTGTCTTTCTTTTCATACGCCCACGCATAGCATTTGACGACACCATTTGCTTCCCAGAGCTCCCATAAAAACCATTCATCCATCCCTCCCCTGCACAGAGCACCGACCCTTGACGCCAATGAACAGAAAATAAAAAGAAGAAAAAGGAAGTATTTGTAAAGGGTGCACACCTTGTAACCACCTCCTGGCCGAGCTACTTGGCCCCCGCGCATACCACAAGTAACGCGTTTCTGCATCTCAGAAACCCCAAGGTCTTGGAGTCCCTTCTTCCTCCTCCTGCCCAGACTCAGATTCCTCACTGCGAAACTCCACTCCCGAACCGTAACCCTCCTCCTCAGCAACCAAATCGCCATACTAAGACTCATATCTCTTGAGCTGCCCGTCAGCACTAAGCGGCTGCACCGACCCAGCCGGCGCCGGCGCGTCAAACGTCACCCGTTCCCCATCAAGCCCCAGCTCTTGCACCATGCGGATGCCCTGCTCACCCCCCGTGGCAACAGCCTCCTTGAGCCCCTGCTCAACCTCGCGGACGCGGCGCTTGAGCGAGAGTCTATCGAGGAACAGTTGCTGCCTCGCCCTCTCCAGCTCACGTCTTTCCGACTGCAGGATCGACTCCATCTCGTCAAAGTACTTGAGCTTGAGCTCGTCCTTTTCCAGCGTGATGTTCACGCAAGCGGAGACGAGACGGGTCATCTCCCGCTCCTCGTGCGACGCAAGACCGCCGGCTCTGGCACCAATGGCCGCAAGAGGAATGTTGGCCAGCGCGCTGGTCTTGGTGGTTGTGGTCGTTGTCGTGGTGGTGGTGGTGGTAACCTCTTGCCTGATATCCAGCTCCATCGACTCGCCCTCCTTCTCCTTGCCCTTGCCATTGGCCTCGGCATCCTCGGGAACGGCATCGAGCTTGCTGCGAAGATTCTGCTTCAGCAGTTCGGCCGACTTGCCAGCAGCAGCCGCAGTGCTGGCCGGGTCCGCAAGGCTGGCCAGGAAGCCCACCACCGACATGACCGGGTTGTCGGTCTGGCTGAATGGTAGCTGACCGCCATGACTGCCCAGCATTTGCAGGCCAACCGGTGCATCCACCTTCTCCGACTCCAAGTACTTGTCCTCGATATCAAGCTGGAGGAACTTGAGCACGCACTCCTCCCTGGTCCGTGTCCCAACATAGTCAGCGATCTCACCCCAGTCGTCGTCGAACCTCTCAAGACCCTCCAACAGCCTGAGTGTCTCAGCATCGCTCCATGGTGCGTCCCTGTCGAGAATAGAAGAGTATGTTGGGTTCTCCATCCGGGTGTAGTGGGCACTGGTTTGATTTCCTGGGAGGCGGCCCTCGAGGTAACAGCTAGGGCAAAGGTCGTACTTGGCCTTCGAATTGGGATCGGCCTGGGAGCTGTGGTAGTAGATGCGCGTGCAGTCGGTGCCGCAGTTGTAGCAGTTGACTCTGATGATGGGCGTCTTGGTGAGCTCGTCGGTCCCGGATACACCGTTGGTCACTGGGGTCTCTCCATTGGTCTTGCTCTCGGTCTTGGTGAGCTTGGTGTTCTTAGCGTTGGCCTCGTAGATATTGCGGCCGACTTCCAGGTTGAGCTCAGACTTTGGCGCGGGTGTAGCGCTCGCCTTGACTTCTGTGTCCTTGTTAGGCCGCCCCTCAACGGTGGCAGGGTCTGCGGCGGGTTGCCATGGCTGAAGGCCGCGAGGAGTATCGCAGATGATCTTGAAGTGGCCAGTGAACGGTGGTCCAACGTGCGATGGGCGCTGTTCTGTGTCGACCTGTGGCTAAAGTCAGTACTTTTTTGTTTTTTTTCTTTGTTTTTGTAGAGCATATAACATCGCGCCAAGCGAAAAGTACCTGGTAGTTGATCAACCCCCACTGCTCGAGGAAAGAGTGGACTCTCATGATGGCGCAGACATCACCGGCCAGGTTGCGACGGCAGGCAGTGATGGTGAGATACTCGACTGGGTTTAACCTGTAGGCATTGATCATAAAATCACGGTAATCCTTGTAGACAGCCGGTGTCTTGCTTCGATTTCTGTTGTTGAAGAACTCGGGCAGCGCTTTCCTCTCAATGCTGTGGATGGTGTTCATGTCGAACCAGGCGCTGTAGCTGGGGAGGACGATGGCATGGGTTTGCGAAATCAGATGTTCTCTGGCGGCATTCTCGACGGACTCCTTGGTCTTGACCTCACCGGTCCCCTCGTTCCCGGCAGCGCCATCGGCTTGGTCAGCGCTGCTCTTAGAGGCGTCGCCCATCTCTTCATCTTCGCGGGCTGTCGATTCCGCAGGGGGACGATCAGGCGCGTCCAAGGGATTATCGGATGAGGCGCCTGGTGCAGGCGTGGTGCTGTCCTGTTTGATTGTTGGCTCTGGGCCATCACCCATCTGTACATCTACACATGGCGAAAACACGTTAGCCCGGGACTGGGCGGCCAAGACAAGACAAGACAAGACAAGACAAGACAAGACAAGACAACAATCTACAAACCTTCGTTCTGGTCATTGACATCCGGGAGAGGGGGTTGCGAAAGAATTGGGTTTGCGCCAGGGGATGCACCGTTGGTGGGTGTCCCGTAGCTAACCATGCTCTCATCCATTGTGACGGCGGCGACAGTGGCGATGATAGACGCAAAACCAAGACGGGGCTAATGAAATCAATAAAAAAAGGGCGACGATGTTGAGTCTGCAGGCCAAGGAGCGCAGCCCAATGCAAGCAAAAGGCAGCTGGCAAGAAGTGGATGATCCAAATGCTAAGTGCAACCGGTGGGATCTTGATTCGAAGTGGGCTGTCAAAAATCCAAGATGTTTGCGGTCGCGATGGGGGTCGCAGCTTCGGGGAGTTCGTGATCCGTCAGTCGCGTTGGAGAAAATGTTGTTCGCGCGCCAGACCACGGTGAGGGAAGGAGCCCGCTTTTGCCAGTTCTCAGCTCAGCCTGCTGCAACTGCCAAGCACTGCACCCACCACCAAGCAACGCCCGTGTCACGTGGGACACAGCCCACCAGCCACTCATATTGTCCAAAGCACGCACCAGCCATAAGTGTCAGATGCTACAAGCCACAATGCTAAGCAACCCCTCCGGTTCTGGGAAAATGCCCCACTTTTACTACGGTCCCACGGTCCCACGGTCTTCCCCCCCCATGCGCTCAATCGCAAGGTCGTCAATCAGAAGCTAACCTCGGGCCGCCGCAACCCGTCATCGACAGTTGTGTGATTGATTCTGCGCATCTGTCTGCATCTGCTGCTCCCCCTTGGGCATTCCCAACTCCGGCCACGACTCGGCTCCGGATTTTCACCGATTGAACCTCTCCCCCTTCTTCGGCAGCCGGCCTCCGAGTTTGCACCACTTCAACAGATCCCCAGTTCTGCTATCACGATGCTCTCCACCACCACCCGCCGAGCCTTCTCGGCCCTCACCCGTCCAAGCCTCCAATCCGCAACCCTCTCTCCCCTCCGCTCTACTCCCGCCGCCCTCCACCGCCTTCTCTCCGCCCTCGCCGTCCTCGAACAACGCGACGGCAAGCTCAACACAGGCTCCCTCTCCGCCATCACCGCCGCCCAAAAACTCGGCGGCACTATCCACGCCTTCCTCGCCGGCAGCTCCATCAAGCCCGTCGCCGAACAAGCCGCCAAAGTCCCCGGCGTAGAAAAAATCATCGCCGTCGACAACGCCGCCTACGACAAGGGCCTCCCGGAGAACTACGCTCCCTTGCTGGTGGAAAACATCAAAAAGGGGGGTTACACCCACGTCATCGCCGGGCACACCGCATTCGGCAAGAACCTCCTCCCCCGCGTAGCCGCCCTCCTGGACGTCCAGCAAATCTCGGACATCACCGCCATTGAAAACGACAAGACTTTTGTCCGGCCGATTTACGCCGGAAACGCGATTGCTACCGTTGAGAGCTCGGACGAGGTGAGGATTATCACCATCCGTGGGACTGCATTCCCCGCTGCAGAGCCGGCTGATGGGACAGCGGCAGTGGAGGAGGGGGTTGACCCCAAGGTTGAGAGCGCTACCGAGTGGGTTGGGGAGGATCTCGCCAAGTCAGACAGGCCTGACCTTGCGACCGCGCCCAAGGTTGTCAGTGGGGGGAGGGGGTTGAAGTCGAAGGAGGAGTTTGACAGGATTATGCTCCCGTTGGCGGATACGCTGGGAGCGGCGGTCGGTGCTTCCCGTGCGGCGGTGGATAGCGGGTACGCGGACAACAGTCTGCAGGTGGGACAGACTGGCAAGGTGGTGGCGCCGCAGTTGTATTTGGCGGTGGGGATTTCGGGGGCTATTCAGCATTTGGCTGGCATGAAGGATAGCAAGGTGATTGCGGCGATTAACAAGGATGGTGATGCGCCAATTTTTCAGGTGGCGGATGTTGGGTTGGTGGGGGATTTGTTCGAGAAGGTGCCTGAGTTGACGGAGAAGCTGAGGGCGTAGAGGATTTGATTTCTTGTTAGATGTACTAGTTAGATGTACAAATATCCAGCCGTGAGCCGGCCGGCCACAGCGGCCTTTTTTTTGGATGAATCTGATCTGTTTTTTGATACAAACATGGCTCCTACTGCTTGGTCCTTACATGTCTTTGCTACGCATCGTGCAAACACCATTCACGCTCACCTCGCCCCATCCCCCAAAACAGCCAACATATCCTCCCTCCTCACAAACTTCTCTCTCTCCTTCCCCGTCCCGGCCTTCTGCCCCCTCTCAATCTCGGCCCTGTCAATCGCCTTCCAATCCTCCCAGCTAACCACCCTCGCATTGCTATTCCCCTTCAAAGCCTCCGCCTTGACAGCCTCCCACCCCTTCCCATCCTGCCCCCACTCCCCCTCCGGCAGAAACTTTTCCATTTTGGTCAAATCCTCGGTGATGGCATCCGCCGTGGTGAAAGCATCCATCATCGTCTCGGCAATCACCCCCTGAGGACCACGTTTCACCCAGCCGGAACAGTACAGCCCCTTGAAGTGATGCGGCAGCTCGATATGTGGCTGATGGTGAGCAGGGTGGGAAGAAGAGGGGAGTTGATGCGGGCGGTGGAGTTTGGTGAGGACGCGGCCGATGCCGTCGTTTGGTATCACGCCGGTGGCGGTGTTGAATGGTATGCCCAGGGGAGAGAATTCGGGGAGGGGTGTGGACTTGTACCCGATGGATTTGAAAACGTACCTTGTGTTGAAGGTGACGGTTTTGGGCTGGGGGGGGAGGCGGGCGGTGGCTTTTTGGTTGTAGTATTCCCTGTGGTTGTTTGTTTCGTAGTCGGTGGAGGGGTGGTGCTGGTGTGGGTTTTGGAGGACGGTTTTGCCAAAGGTGGCGGAGGTGACCCAGTTTGGGGGGGTGGAGGAGGGCTGTTCAGGCTTGTGGTCGAATTCGAGAGGGGAGAGACAGAAGTCAAAGGTGACGGAGGGGTAGGGGTTTGACGGGTTTGGTGGGAGGGAAGAGCCCTTGCTGAGGAGCTCCGTTCGTCGCTTTATTGGTGGGGGGAGGACGTCGTAGGCTGTGGGGTGTTCGAGTTCATAAGGACGGACCTCGACACCCGGGAGTTTGTAGAGGGCGCGGAGTTCTTTGGTCGTGAAGGCTGCTTGGATGGGCCCGCGTCGACCGATGATGCGGATGTTGTGGGTTTTGCTTTTGGAGAGGGCGTCAAGGGCGTGGGCGGCGATGTCTGTTTTGGCGAGTTCTTCTGGGGATTTGAGGAGAATACGGGCAACGTCCATGGCTACGTTGCCGTTGCCGATGATGAGGGTGTCACCATGCGCCCCTAGGCTAAGGTCTGGGTTGAGGTCGGCATATTCTGGGAGGCCGTTGTACCACCCGACAAACTCACGGGCTGAAAAGACTCCTTTGAGTTCTTCCCCTGGAATGCCGAGCTTCCTGTCTTCGGAGGAGCCATAGGAAAAGACTACGGCGTGGTAGTGGCGGAGAATGCTGGATAGGGGGACGGTGGCGCCGTCTGGGTGGTCACTAGAAGCACCGACGGTGACATTGCCGATGAAAGTGAAGTCAGGGGAAGCGGCTACCTCTTCAAATTTCTCTCGACAGTTCTGGCAACTTGTCAGTGATTATGCTTTTGCTTTTACAAGGGCGACAGCATCATGTATACCTACTTTCACTTCAGCATGGTCTGGAGCAACGCCAAATCTCACAAGCCCATAAGGAACCGGCAAGGACTCATACATGTCCACCTTGGCGTGTTCATTGTTCTTCATGAAACGGTACGCCGTGTAGAAACCAGCCGGACCGGAGCCGATGATTGCTAGCCGGAACGGCTCAACGGTGGTGGAGGCCCTCCGGACCTGGTTTGTGTATGCCAAGGCGAGTTGTCGAGTCCATTGTTGAAAAGCCCTCGGCCTTGCCTGGGCGATGGTGGCCATGAGGAATAGAGCGGGTGCCGAGCCCACTGGTGGTGAGCTGATATCAGTTTAGAGTAGAGAGGTTCACGCACAAAGAAGAAGACTGCAGCCACCAGCCACATGTAATAATTAATGCGGCTCACGGACCGAGTCACAGTGCAAAATTCAGGGTTCGGGGCCCGGCTCCGGCGCTGCTAACGGCGTTGTCGGCCCTACAGTTCGGATGTTTTAGTGGGGGCATGGCCGGAGATAGCGGGGTCAGCCCAGTGATGTCGCAGCCGACAAGGGAAGCTTGGAGCTTGGATCGCAAAAACCCCACCCCGAAACAAGGGCATCAGTGATCACAGCCCCGCCCGAGCATCACTTCAAAAACAACGTCAAGGCATGGCTGACAGACCACAGATCATGGCGATAATTATGAGTGCGACGACCGAGGCGGTGTGACACTCGGAACAAAATACAACCATGTTTCATCCAGTCAAGTCCCGCGGCGTTTGCTCCCCCTTCCCGTCTCGGGATGGCTGGCACAGCTCGAACAGGGCAGAGCTGACAGCGCTTGCATGGTTGCCCCGTCAACGCTTGTCAAAAGAGGATCAACTGCACCACAAGCTGAACAGCTCCGGCATTGACGTCCTTTTTGATCCCGCGGGGCCCTCTCTTGTGTGTTTTTTTGCATACCGCACTCCTCCAATTATCACCACCTCCAGAGAACCACAGCGTTGTAAGGCGCCGGTCGCAAACATGGGGGGCTCCAACCAACCGTACATGTACGAGCCAGTCTTGAAGGACGACGAACGCTTCCCTGTTCCCGTGTTTGACCCCAAGGCCGTCACTCGGGCGAGTTATGAGAAGAAAAAGCCGAAGCCGAAGCCGAACGGCCCGCTTGTCTCGATCAACCGCCATCCAGAGTATGCAACTCCACACCTTTTTCTGCATTTCTGCATTCCAGTCTTATGCAGGAACCAGGTACTAACATTGACCATAGTGCCCATGTCGTCCCGACAGGCCGGACCAACTTTAGGACCCTGGGTGCCTCGACCAAGAGCTGGATCAAGGGGATGAGAGCTGTGCAGCTGTGTTTGCGTGTGCTCGAGTTGATTGCCGCCCTTGGTTTTCTGACTCTGTGCATTCTCTTGAAGGGGTTTGAGGAACTAACAGGATGGGTTATGCGCGTCACCGTGAGTCCTTGCGTGTGGAATATCGACTCTCAGTCACATGGTCTAACACTCTGCTAGTTTGGTGTCGTGATCATCCACTGCATCTACTCCATCTACCACCACTCCAAGCCAGCATCCGGCAAGACCCCCGGCTCATCAGCAGCCTACCAAGTCTTTGGCGGTATCTCCGACCTTGCTGTCCTCCCGCTCTACACCTACGGCATCTTTTCATGCCGCAACCAGGCTGACAAGTGGTCCACTCTTCTCACCAACCAAGATCTTGTCCAGAAGTACTTTGTCCCCTCCCTCTACTACGGTCTCATGGGCGCTGCTGGGCTGCATCTCGTCTCCCTCGCCATCTCCCTCTGGCTCGGCGTCGTGTTCCGCCGCATCTCCATGATGCCCCCAGACATGAATCCCCTCGAGAACCGCTTCACCTCCCGCGCCCACAAGCGCAACAAGTCCTCCATCGTTACCACCACCACCACCACCAGCTACTCGGACTCTGAAAAGCGCGTCAGCACCCTCTCGGACCGCATCCGTGACAGCATCCCAGCCTACGACCCGGAAACCTCCCGCCCCCCTTCCGTTCCTTTCATGCACACCCGTCAAAGCTCGTATGACTCCCAGGACTCAAGGAAGGGCCTCCCGTCGAGACAATACCAAATCCCCCACTCCAACCGCTCCTCCGGCACAGCCCAGGACTTTCAGCGCATGTCCGCCCCTCCTCCTGTTCCCGCCCATTCCAGCGGGCAATCTTCCCCAACCAAATCCCGCGCTTCCTACACCGAGCTCCCACTCGGAGAGACGGATCTCGGCGCCCCCCGGCCAAGGTCAATGTTCAACCCCCCAACCACCTTTTCCGACGACGATGACGACCACCCTCAGACTTCGGCTGTTAAATCCCACCACCCCACCCCGGTTTCCCCGTCGCAAGTCCAGCAGCCGAGGACAGCGAGGTTCACAGAGGCATGGTACACAACCCCCAGCCTGGTCAGCCGCACCGCGCAGCGAAACCCGCAGTACCAAACCCTCGACCCCGACTCCGAGTCTTCGGACAATGATGAAAATGATTTCAACTACAGGACTAATCTCGGACCCTCACCGGCCCATCCCAACCCGCTTGGTTCCCACCCCCCACGCTCCCCGTCCCCGCCACCAAAGAGGCATTCCACCCCCTTTTCAAGGCTGAGGGATTCAATCCTGGGGGAGGTCAGCCCCAATGACCGCCGCGTGTCTGGCGACATAACAGAGATGAAGACGCCTGCTCGGAAACAGCTGAATAGACAGAGTTCCATCCAGGCGGATTCGAGTTTTTATTCCAAGCCGTATGGGGATTTGAGGGCGAGGACGCCGCCGGTTATCGTGGGGAGTTTGGGGCTTGGTGAGGTTGTGGAGGAGGAGGAGACGAGGAATAATATGAGGCAGGTGAGCAGTGGGAATGATTTTGATGGTGGGCCGGTGGGGGTGGGGGTGAGGATGAGGCATGTTAGCGGGCGGGAGGCGGAGGAGGGGAGGGCGGGGGTTACGCCTCCTCCTTTGGAGATTAAGAAAAAGAAGGGGAATGGGGAGGTGAAGGGGGGGCATGTGGCTGCCATGAGGAGTAGGTATTCGGTTTTGAACGAGTAGGGATGGGGGGTGGGATGATGGGTTGGGTTTTCTTAATTGGAGGGGGGGATAGAGGGATGGGTTTGGGATGGGATGTATGAATACCTATGTGAATGAACAGGTTTGGGGGGGGAAGGGGGGAATGTTATACATGTCTTTCTGTATCTAGTATCTCTGATGGCCTTGGTCACATGAAAGGGATGGGTATATTTACTTTTTCCACCGTCGATAACGTCAAGTGAAACGATGTTATGTTTGCTCTAAATCGAAACCTCCATCAGGACAGAGGTTTGCTGGAGCGGTAGAAGGGGCACGACCTTACTTGTTGTGGTTTGGGAAAGCCTTGCTGCTAGATAATGATCCATCTTGTTAGATGGGAAAGAAAGAAAACAGACCTGCCTGTCAAAACAATAATTTATTATATCACCCTTGACGTATGGAACAAGAAAAAAAGTCGAAAAACAGCAAAAAGCTCACCGGCCAACCCCCGGGCTGGGTGGCCGGTTACGAAAACCCGAGGGGGAGGGGGGTGGGAGTGAACGTCCTCTGCGGCTGCTCCTGGATCCGAATTTCTGAGCTCAACATATGATCAACACGAGATGAAACAGAAACATTGTCTGTCACTTAGATGACAAGCTTGTTGTCGAGCCCAGCCGTCTTCTAACACTTGACCATCCGACCTAAAACGCATGCCTCTCACCGCACACACTGATGGTGACTGGAGACGTGCGAGTACTGTTTCAAGTGATGACTTCTCGATTGAGGAAAAACGCGCCCAAACTCCAACCGCCAATATCCTACCCACCACTCCGAAAAAAGCAAACCATGCTCTCCCACCATGCCGTGAATAATGTCAACAAGTTACAGGATAGAAAACCCACCAAATGATGATAATCCCACAAGCACCCATGTCCTGTCCAAGGTTATCCTACAGTCTACGGTATATACACATCAAGACTCATTCAAAGCCCTCATGATCCTCTGATAAAACTTCCCCGCCTGCGCCCTAGGAAAAGCAATCTCATCCACCAAAAACTCCGGCAGCACATCAATCAGCGCCCTGTCCCTATTGGTATCCAACATGGGGTTATACTCGCACTGCGACTCATCCCCATCCCCAGACGACATTGTGAGTTTAAAATGTAATGCTGCCATCATATTAGCCACCGTTTTCTCTCCGCCGTCACAGGAAAACTTACTCCCATTCCTCCCAGTCTGCAAACAATCAAACTCGACCCCCTCCCCCCCCACATTCACCCCCCTGACGATCAACCCCGGATGCAAGATCCGCATACTAGATCCTCCTTCCTCTGCGCGCGCCAAAGTAGCCTCGCTGCACCTGTATCCCCGTCCCCCTCACCCCACCAACCCCCAACGTCTTTTTCATCGCACTCCCCGGCACCTGCGCCGTCACACTCCTGCTATTCGCCGCCGCTTCCGCATTCCTCGCAGCAGCCAACTTCATATTCAGCGCCTTGATCTCCGTCTTTTGCTCCGCAATCGTCTTGTTCAGCTCCGCAACCTGAGCCTCAAATTTCGCGATTTGAGCCTGGGCGGTTGACAGGTCTGATTGGAGGGAGGGGATGACAGCGCTGGATTGTTTAGCGGTGGAAAGCTCGGCTTTTAAAGAGGCAATCAGCTGGTCCGCGAGCTTGGATTTGGACTCGGATGTTTTCCGGTACGAGTCAAAGGTTTTTTCGGCTTGGGGGACGGTGGTGTCGCGGAGGGCGTTGTATTTGGATTCGAGGGCCGAGTGGGATTTGGTTAGGTCCGCCTAGGCGGCGGCGGAGGTCTGCTTCGGAAGAGGAGGTGGTTGTGGTGATCGGATGGGCGTTTCTATCTGGGGGCATGACGGAAAAGGAGCGCGGTTGGGGAGCGTGCGATGGTGGGGGCTGCTGTGTCGTCAGGAAATGGGCGTTCCGGGCGTACGAGGGCGGAGGGTTGAGTTTCTGGGATTTCGACCGTTTCGTCTGGGGAGGAGGAGGCGGAGGTTTTCCTACCTGCGACAGTCTTCTTGGGACGGCCGCGGGTGGTTTTGGTGGTTTCTGACGTGGTGGTGGTGTCGGCCATTTCTGTGTCTTCTTCTTCCTCGACTGGTGTAGTAGCCGCAACGGCGCGTCTCCCTCTTCCTCTTCCTGCTGGCTTCTCGGCCGGCGCGTTCTCAGCTGGCGCATCTCCTAGGACTTCCTTCTCTACTGCTGCCGCGACTCTCCCGGCAGCGCGACGCGTCGTGGCGGTGTTCTTTGGTTCTGGCTTGGTGACTTTTGACGCGGCGGTTGCCTTTGCGGCAGCTCCTCTCTTCTTTGGCGGCATGATGGCGGATGTGGTTGTTTTCTTGGAGTTTAGTTTGCGCGGTCTTCCAATGTTGGCAGCGGCAGTTGAGGTTGATGATGATGATGATGATGATGTGCGCGCGATTCCACCCAGTCCGTCTTCTGAATCCGAATCCACCAGCTCCAGCAGCTGAGAGCGGATCTTCGTTCTTAGCATCGAGCAAACCCCTGCCTGGGATTCCTTGACGTTTATGGATTCAAACAAAAATGCCAAAAGTTGAATAGCTCGAGACACAAAGAGTCCCGTGCGTCCGTTTTCACCTGAGCCTTACGCAATAATTACAAGCAGCAGTCGCAACCAAAAAAAAAAAAAAAAAAGTGTGGCGATGCGCAGTGCCCTGAGTAGCGACGCGTTAGGGGGAAGGTTTGCGGCTCTCTCAGCTCGCGTTGCCCTTGCAGTTTGTTTACTTTGGCGCAGGAGGGGCATTGTGCATGGGCCACCGCTTGGTAGCAACTACTACAGATACGGTTAGAGCACCCAGCTACGTGGCCCAGGCCCACTCAGTGTCGCACAAACCCCCTGGTCTTTCAGCCACTGAGTGGCGCTTGCACATGGTCGTCGGTCGGGTCATGCCGCTGGCGGGCTGGCTGTCGGCACACCTGCCATTGCTCCTCGGTGCATTCAACTCCCCCTCGCCACGACACATCACCCATTGGCACTCCTATATAAACGACCCTGTAAACCCATTGCTATCACCTTGTCTGACCTGCCAGGAATCCTCAAACCCCACTTCTGGTTGAACCGACACCTAGCAGCTGTGCGACATCTCGCACCGCTGCGCTGACAGCATGAGCGACAACAAGCGCTTAAGAGATCTGGGGGCGGGCTTGACCTCGGGCATGCTCCTTGCAGCTGGTGTACGGACTATGCTGTCCCCTACGTGCGCATATGTGATCTTGTGTTTGCTGACTCCGTCCCCCAGGCCCTAACCGCGTACCTGCTACTCAAAGATGTCGTCGCCCCCTACTTTGCGCGGGTAGTCGACCCAGACCACGAGAAGAACGAAGCGACACGAAAAAGGGCACAGGCGAACCTGCAAAGGATACGAAAGAAGATTGCCGAGAACAGCGCAAATGACGCAGCCAACACAGATGCATCACAAAAGACCAGCGTTGAGGACTTGATTCTGAACGAGTACGAAAACCAGGTAGCACTGGAGGTCGTCGCGCCAGAGGACATCCCGGTTGGCTTTGACGACATTGGAGGATTGGAGGAAATCATTGAAGAAGTGAAGGAGGCTATCATCTACCCATTAACGATGCCACATTTGTACCAGCATGGTGGGTCTCTCCTGGCTGCACCATCTGGCGTGCTGCTGTACGGCCCACCAGGCTGTGGCAAGACGATGCTGGCAAAGGCTGTGGCACACGAGAGCGGTGCCTCGTTCATCAACCTTCACATCTCGACACTTACGGAAAAATGGTATGGCGACTCCAACAAGCTGGTCCGTGCCGTCTTCTCTCTGGCGCGCAAGCTTGAGCCCGCCATCATCTTCATCGATGAGATTGACGCTGTGCTGGGGCAACGACACAATGGCGAGCACGAAGCCAGTGGCATGGTCAAGGCTGAGTAAGTGGCCCCTGTTGCCGTTTGATATCGTCTTATTCCTGACCTTGCCCAGATTCATGACGCTATGGGATGGTCTCACCTCGTCCAACGCCGCCGGTGTTCCTGCACGCATTGTTGTGCTCGGTGCCACCAACAGGATAAACGCCATCGACGAGGCCATTCTCAGGAGAATGCCCAAGAAATTCCCTGTTTCTCTTCCGGGAACTGAGCAGCGTCGTCGCATTCTCGAATTGATCCTCGGGAATACCAAGCGTGATCCGGACTTTGATGTTGAATATATTGCCAAGGTCACGGCGGGCATGTCTGGAAGCGATCTCAAGGAAGCGTGCCGCGACGCCGCCATGGTTCCCATGAGAGAGTATATCCGCCAGCATCGTGCGTCCGGGGCGTCCATGTCCCGGGTAGCCCCTGAGGGCGTCCGCGGTATCAGAACCGATGACTTTTTCGGTCGGCGAGGCGGACAGGTCCTTCATGTGCCACCGCCTGCTGCTACTAATGGGCAATCCGAAAGCGAATGGCGCGATGTCGAGGAACTCGAAGAGGACATTGTTACCACGCTCTCATAGAGGGATGGGTGTATGGTTCATGGTTCATGGCATTGATAAGATAAACGAGCAGCGATAGATCAGAGTGTCTGTTCGTATATCACGAACAGATTGGGGGTTGGCGGAACAAGCGATTGACACAGCGGCATGCTTCCCCGGCTGGACAGACAAGGGGGGGAGCGAGTTTCATCTCCAATATCTCCAAAGTCTGCTTTAGAGTAATAGATAACCAACCAGACACACGAAACAGGTCTCTATCTCATGGTGATAGTGATACTTCGTGGCATAGCCTTTAGCCGGCGTGCTGGCTGCTGTCGGCCCGGAGCCGAGCCTTGGGCACTGACACGGCAAATCAAGATGGATGGCCATGTTCCCCTCATTACCCCATAGGAATGAGAGGGCAGACAGGAAGAGATTTCGGTAACGGGCTGACGTGACAGTGCCCTCGCTCTTTGCTCAGAGTCATCATACCATGTAAGTGAGCTCGTACATTGCTGTCAAAACGGGTTCATCCGCGGCAGGCAAGCACGTCATTTGGATGACCCACTGCGCTTTTGCTGTAAGTTGGCTACGGCGCTACCTGATTTGTCACATGTTTGCCACCAGAACCCCAAGTACCCCCCTAGCAGAACAACTCCTGTCCGACTCCGGAGTAAAGAGCGGTCGCGATGGCAGTGTGTTACAGACTGACCAGCCAACCCCCAATCCCCGAATCATATCATCGAATACTGACAACTCTTGGAGGGAAAAGACGCAACGCTGTCCCGCGCTGATCCAGTTTTCCCCGGAAAATCCATATCATATCATATCGTATCATATCCTCTTCTCGACTCTTTGACTCTACAACACAAAGCATTGGCCCTCCTTCCTCTTGTGTTTCCGATACCTACCTTACCTTTGCGGCTTCCATCCCGCAAAAACCACCCCGCCTCCAACAAACCTGATATTGAGTCACCTGCCTGTCACCCACCACACAGGAACTCGCTCCCAATGGCTTCCCCAAGTACGCCCGCGCAGGCCGCGAAGAAGGCCCTCTCCAGAGTCGATCTCGATGGCCATGCTCTCCCCCCATCACCTGCCCCGTCGAGTCCGCACCCTGGGTCACGCCGGTATGCTCTCGCAACCGAGCTCGTCTATACTGACTCCAAGGACCAGTATGGTGCCTCGAGCATCCCGATCTACCAGTCGGCCACCTTCAAGCAAACGTCTTCCAACGGCGGCAACGAGTATGACTACACTCGATCGGGAAACCCTACCCGGACCCATCTTGAACGCCACCTGGCCAAGATCATGAATGCGACCCGCTGCCTGGCTGTCGGCTCGGGAATGGGTGCATTGGATGTCATTACACGCCTTCTGAAACCGGGTGACGAGGTTATCACGGGCGATGATTTGTATGGTGGCACGAACCGGCTTCTGACATATCTGAAGAACAACCAGGGGGTTGTTGTGCATCACGTCGACACCACCAACGTCGACGCCGTGAAGGAGGTGATTACGGAGAAGACGGCCATGGTTCTGCTGGAGACGCCGACGAACCCGCTGATCAAGATCGTCGATGTCGCGTCGATCGCCAGAGCATCGCACGAGGCCAACAGCAAGGCATTGGTTGTCGTCGACAACACCATGCTGTCGCCCATGCTCTGCAACCCTCTGGATCTCGGCGCCGACATTTCCTACGAGTCCGGCACCAAGTACCTCTCCGGTCACCACGATATCATGGCCGGTGTCATTGCCGTCAATGACGCAGAGATCGGAGACAAGATGTACTTTACTATCAATGCTACCGGCTGTGGACTCTCCCCCAACGACTCCTTTTTGCTCATGAGGGGTGTCAAGACACTGGCCATCCGCATGGAGAAGCAGCAGACCAGCGCTCAACGAATTGCCGAGTTTCTCGAGTCACACGGCTTCAAAGTTCGCTATCCAGGTCTCAGGTCTCATCCCCAGTACGATCTGCACTGGTCCATGGCTCGTGGTGCCGGTGCCGTGCTTTCCTTTGAGACTGGCGATGTCGCCCTTTCCGAGAGGATAGTGGAAGCTGCCAGGCTCTGGGGCATCAGTGTCAGTTTCGGCTGTGTCAATAGCTTGATCAGCATGCCATGCCGTATGAGCCATGCTAGCATCGACGCAAAGACAAGGGCGGAGAGGCAGATGCCTGAGGACATCATTCGCTTGTGTGTGGGTATCGAGGACGTGGACGATCTCATCGACGATCTTACTCGTGCTGTAAGTTGTGATTCCCAAACCGCTTTCTGATGCATGGCTCGGTCTGACATCTTGACTCTAGCTTGTGCAAGCCGGCGCTGTGACGCTGACGATCGATGGCTTTCACGCAAATGAGGCCAACGGCGGAAGCTCGACACCATCAGCTTAGGCTCGCACCTAGCCATTACGACTGACGATTTTCGGACTGCACGGGAAACGGTGGGCGTCTGGGATGTTCATCTGGTTTCATTCCCCTTACAAGCATGCTGGGCGGATATCTGGGATACACCAAAAGTAATGAAATATACAACGACAACGGATATCGTTGTCAAGACGTTGAACGCCAAAAATCTTGTCCCCATCACAACACGCTCTCGGCCTCGAAAGCAACCCCAAACGGATGCTGCGGGCGGTGCTTCAAGCCCCAGTGCGGGCACTACAATCGCTTAGTACTACTAAAACAACTGCCTAGGAGACACAGGATCAATCACGACTCACCTCGTCAACCCGCTCTGGAAAAGCGTTTCGGTGATGGTGAGGTTGCTGGGGTTATGCTCGGCTTCCCAAGCCTTCAGCATGGGCGATTCCTCCTGTGAGGAGGACCCAGATTGACTGGACGGAGGGGGAGTGACCTGGTGTCGACTGGAACTATGGAACTTGTGAGAGGGAGTCCCCTCGGAAAATATGCGGCAGAACGGCTGGGTATCACGAACCTTTGACTGTGGTCCCCAGAAGCTTTGTCATCTCTCACGCTGTGAGGCATGGTCGCCTGGGGCCAAGGGGGTTTGGGTGGGGGCAGATGGGGTCTTCTCGAGTGGTGATGTTGCGGGTGCACAGGAAGCCTTCTTGCTCCATGGCACAACCGGGGGAGGATGGTGCTTTTATGTTCTGGTCATCCTCCTGAGACGACCAGCTGTATGATGACGGCCCTCGGTGTTGCGGGACGTCCCGCGCACCAGGCCGCTGAGGTAGAACGAGAGGAATAGAAAGGAACGGGGGGATCGCTCTAGCGTTGCCTCTACACTCATGACAACTTCCACCATTGCGCCATGCCCAACTGACCGGGGACAGATGTTTGAGCCGCTCACTTTGCAGGATGCTGCGACCGATCAGTCGCTGTGACACCTAGGGGCTTGGATGTGCGTTGGGCCATCTTGGTGTGGACATGACACCTCACTTTTCCCACCCACGGTCTCAGGCCATGTCCCTGTTCCGAAGATGTTATCTCGGTGGTACACGCATCATCAACGACGCCTCAGCGCGCTGCTCACGAAATGACATCGGTCAGCGTCATGAGAATGATGACCTCTGATACAAGCCGAGGATTTGGTGTTTTCGTTTTGCGTCTGATGCCGATTCGCTGCTGCCCTCCGACCGGTGGTGGTTTGCTAGTAACTATGGTACGACCACACCTTTTTTCTTCTTCTCACGATGCTTTGTTGGCATGCTGCCGGACGAGAGAGGGTCGGGCCCCCATGGGGGGCAACCGGTCTACGAGATATAGAGAGCTCAGATATTGCCGCGCAGCTGTGGCCTTGGGTTGTGCAGATGTATGCTGTATATCTGCAACGCGGCTCGATAAGACCGACGAGACCGAGAAGACTGTGTATGCTGGAGGCTAGTTGTTGAAGGCTTGTTTGCTTCGGATGCGGCGGTTACAGAGGGAACTCTCGCAGCCCAGACTCCTCAGGCTGCCAGTGTGCTCAGGAGGTCTAGCTGCGCTTTCTCTCTCAAGCACGACAGTTGCTGACATCTCCGTACATGCAGAGAGCACTTGGCTTCTTTTGTGGGTTATGCGCTGCTGCAAGATATTGCAGCGAGATTCCTGTGGCCTCGGGGTCTTCTTCTTTTGCATGCTCGTTTATCATGACAATACCATCTTGGTGTTGCGGGGGGGAACCTTGAGTCCTGCTTTCTCCTCGATCTCGACGAGATATTATTCTTTCTGCTGCCAACACCACACACAGCATTTTACATTTCCTGCGCTGTATTTCCAAAGCGGCTATCCTGGTTCAGCATCTTGACGGAATCAGCGCAGAAAAGCGGTGGATGTTTGGGCCTTGTTCTGCTTTGCCCAACTCTTCCTCCCTTTATGCGGCTGCAGCTTCCCGTTTGTTCGAAGCCACCTTGCACGATAGCTGGCTAATTGAGTGGTCTTGTGACAAGGCTCGTGGTTTGACACCCCACCCAACCCCCCAATCTTTTGAACGAGGTGCCGACATGCTGCCCAGGGTGATGGGGTGGGTGTCGGATAGATGGATGGATGGATGGATGGATGGAAGGGGGTTGGTGATAGGATCTTTTTGGTGTACCTAAGGGAAAGATGCGACTCGGCCGCCGCTGGGGGTGAAGAATGCTAGGAGAGGGAGGGATATTGCTCGCTTTTTCTTGCGTAACCCTTTTTGTTGTTGTACAAACACGGCGGCGGCGGCCTAGTTACCCCAGGCCACTTGGGTGCATGGTCTCCGTCCTGGTCTTGACCCAGTTGTTGTTGCACCGCTGGGACGGTTTCTCCTATCTCCTGCTCTGGGGGTGGGTGGTAGGTAGGTAGGTAGGTAGGTAGGTAGGTAGGTAGGCAGGTAGGCAGGTAGGCAGGTAGGCAGGTAGGCGGAGGGGGGGTGGGGGGGTGAGACTTGCACGACACCTATCATTTCGTGTTTGACAGCAGCAGTTCGCTTAAGGAGGTTTTTTTGTTCCATGCGCCCTCCCTGTCAAAAAGCTAGGTAGGTCTGGGCCTGATGCGATGCGTGGAAGGTAGTTTCTTCCGGCCGAGATTCGGGCCGTAGATCTCGGAATTAGGATTAGTTATCACCTTGGGTTGGGTTGTTGTTGGATTACTTCTAGGTGAGGAAGTTTGGCCCGCTCACTCGTTGCCGGGTTACATGTCGGGCAGCTCTGAAAGATTGCGCCATTTCTACGATCCTCTCTTCTCTCATGCGCATGGGGAGTAACACAGTTCTTCTTGCACACTTTTGACGGATGGCAGTTGGGGGAGTAGGTATATGGGGGAGCAAACATTTTGCTTTCGTTCCTGCACAGGAACCAGAGACTGAGCAGCAGCAGGAACCAGAGACTGAGCAGCAGCAGGAGCGACATACGCCGGCTGGGCGGCAAGGCCTACACGCAACTCAGCAAGATAATCGCAAAGGTACCGAGCCGACAGGCCCATCTGCGATAGTTTTCCGGGCTTGTCGTTCTTTGGGGGCATAATCTACATGCACTTTAGATGCCTCACCGGACCATGATATCAAGCCGCAACCACACCTACCTCACTTTCCCCTGCTTGCAGGACGCCATCACAAGGTCATATGTCCTCTCCCACATGCGTCTTTGGACCCCCAAAGATTTACACGCCCCCCCCCCCCTTTTCCGCCGTATCGGGTCCTACACACCACCCTCTTCGGCTGATGGTGTGAAGGAGGTTCGGGACGAGACGGCTCGTCTCGGGATAGGGGGGAACATACCTTATGTGTCTTGATATGGAGAAGAGAAGGGCAGGTACATGGATGATGTAATACCGGCACCTACACCAACAAAAGTCATTTTACCCCACGATGGTGAGAAGGTTGTGGAATGGCCTCGCTCACTTTCGGTATCTCGCCGAGATTGCCTTTTTGGCAAACACAATTGACATGCACGGCATGAAGAGATTGGGGGGAGGGGGGT